ATATATATATATATATATTTATATATATTTATATATTTATATATATATACATACATACATACATACACATACATACATATATATATATACATACATATATATATATACATACATATATATATATATATATAAGGGGTCCAAGCTGATACTAGTAAGGTGTACCTTACTAAAGTAAACTTTTTTGCACTTTCTAAAATGCACTCAATTTTGCAGCCTTTTTTCTAAATGTGGAGAAAGTACATAACTGCTTTTCTTTTTCTCGATTGCCTTTGAAAACACTATCGGTTGGGTTTAGGGAATGAGGTGAATGGGTCGGTCAAGCAGCAAGCTGGCCTGGTCGTCTCAAGTTTACATTGCTCCCTTTGGTGGATTTATGCAAGAAGAGGTCATGAGAGAGGAGTTTGAGATCATCAAAAAGCATACACAGCACCCTCTGGTGGATTTGCCAAAACAAGAACTGCAAGCACACATACCTGCGGTCATGTATTTCGATGTGCCCAGAAATGTAGACCTGGGTACATATCCGGAATAAGCCTGGGTTGGCTAATGCAGTTTGACAACCTAATGTTTAAGATGGTTCTCTGTATCCTGAACACATCCTCAGTCTACAACTGGCAACCATTTAATCAAGATGTGATCATTTTAAATGGTGCAGATACAACAAACTGTTGACTTTTCTTTATCATAATTCAGCCCTTTCGGGAAATGAACGTCAACACACCATGTAGAGTGGAAGTTGGGCGGAGGAAGGTTAAATTCTTACAAAAGCGTATTGAATGATGTCAACATAGTAAAATACCAACACGGGCTCATTCTGAAAACGGATCGCTATAAACATTTCTGGAGATCGCGAATTATGTAGTACGAAGTGTATATGGCTGCATTTTGTCTTTAAAACGAACGCCATGGGGCAGTATGACGTCTTTCCGTTTCGCGCTAGTAGTTGACTAGCAAAAAAATAATAATTTTGAAAATGTAGTCCCATGGACGTTTCTCGAGACAAATGCGGAATACGTCCCGGGAGGTACGTATGGCTGCATTTATTTTTTTTTAAGCGAACGCTACGTGGCTGTGTGACACCTTTTGCCGCTTACCGGCTGACCGTTTACCCCTGTGTGGAGGGCTTAGTTATGTCATGTTAGCTCGTTGTGTACGTCGGCGGACTTGAGATGCAGAGAGGAGTTGACCATGACGACGGCGACAGGGTTCGAGTACTGGGTTCGAGTTCAGGTAAGACAAAAACAGAATCCAAAAATTAAAACGAGCGAGTAAATAACGAATAGAATGCGGTGAAAATTCGAAAACGTAAAAATCAGATGAGGGCTTTTCTTTTTCCGGACGGCTTTTGTAAATTGTTCGTTGGGTTTAGGGAAGGAGGACGGTGGGTCAGTCGATTGGCCAGTCGCCCAGTCAATCATTCAGTCAGACGGACGATCACCCGACAGCGGCCTCAGGTGGGTTTAGCGAGAACAGCACGGGCGCGACAGCGCTCCCGAGAGACATTCGAGATACAAAAAAGCACACACAGCGGCCTCTAGCGGATTCAAGTAAACAAAAACTGCAGCCATACGTACCTCCCGGGACGTATTTCGCAGTCTCCAGAAACGACCACGGGACTACATTTTCAGAATGAGCCTGGGTTGGAAATAATAGACCTGAAAAAGTGTACACAGTGACCTCTGGTGGATTCGCGAAAACAGCTGAAAAACATAGCTCCTGGGATGTATTTGGCGCTCTGCGGAAATGTATATAGTGGTACGTTTTCAGAATGCGCTGTAAAAAAAAAAGTTTTGTTTTCTTCACCAGAATGTAAAAAGTACTTATTTCCTGTCGTTTTGACTCAAAGCTTGACTCAAACTTGAAAAATGACGTGTCGTGAAGACCGTCACTGATGTCCATCCACGACCAACGTCATTTTGCTTTTGACCCTCACGTTGAGTCTCTGTTCCTCCCGCTCTCCATCCAGCCTGGAAATGGAGGTCTATATTTGGAGGAGTGTGATGATGTCACAGTGGCGGAGGGCTGGAGCCTATAACAGCAGACGGAGAGAGCGCTTGTGTGGAAAGACCAGAGAACGTCTGCATCTCCTGAAGCTGCTGTGTGCTGGACTGACACCGCTGGAGGTGAGTACTTTTCACAGCCCTCGCTAAAACATCTACAAACTTTCCCTTTTTTCGTTCGATAGTATCACCAGGCTCAGGGTCAGTCTATTTAAGTTTGTTTTTGAGTTCAGAAGTGGTTCTTTTGATCATTTTAATGATCGTGTTAAATGTTTTCCTCTCTGAAATGAGTTCACAAATTAAAACGAACACTTTTAACTTACTTGACTTATCAGGATTTGTCGGTACTTTAATGTTTTTACCAAAAAAAATACTTTTTATGATCTATAATGTGTAGTGAAAACAACAACAACAAATATATAATAAGTAATAGTGAGACAATTCTTCTTAAAAGCGGTTTTTAGCAGTAAAGGCGAGTTCCCAAATACAAAGAAATGGCGTGGGCAAATATTATTGTTATCAATTGTTTATTTGATTATTATTAAATGTAAAATTGTAAAAAAGAAATAGTATTTTCTCGTAAAATGTAATGCAATATCCTCTAATTTGTAATGCAAATTAGAAAATCATCATTGTATTATTATCATATATTTTTTTATTATATAATTATTATAGATTTTTAAACTGTTTAAAATAATACAGTAATAGTTTAATGATAATAATAATAATAATCGCAATAATACAGCAATTAAAATAATAACATAATATGATGATTATTATTATTATTATAAATGATCATTGTTGTTGTTCTTGTTGTTTTGTTAGTATCATTTTTAATTAATAATTTTCTTGTAAATGTAATGAAGTATCCTCTGTTGCAATACAAATGAAAAAATAATGATTATAGTTATTACTATATGTTTATAATATATTTTTAAATGATAATTATTGGTAATAATAATAACTGTTTAATACAATAATAATACAGTAATAAAAAATAATATTAATAATAATAATAATAATTACAATAATAATAATGACAATAATAATAATAATAATAATAATACAATTATTATTATTATTATTATTATTGTAAATTATTATTGTTGTTGTTGTTGTTTTTATTAAAATAATAATTATCTGTAATAATTTACATATAATTATTATATATGTAATAATTTATTATCTGTAATATAATAAATAATGATTATATTAATTATCTGTTTATCAATATATAATTATTATATATTATTATATATATTTTTAAAATAGGAATTATTGGTAATAATAACTGTTTAAAATAATAATAATAATAATAGTAATAATATAGTAATGAAAATAATCATATTATTATTATTATCATTATAAATTGTCATGGTTGTTGTTGTTTTTATTAAAATTATTTCAAATGAATAATTTTCTTGTAAAATGTAATGCAAATTACAAAATAATGATTATTATTATTATATGTTTATTATTATATAATTATTCTATTTTAAAATTATTATTATTATTATTAAAAATAATAATTATTAGTAATATTTCAAATTGAAAATAATGTTCTTGTAAACTGTAATGCAGTATCCTCTGTTGCAATACAAATTAGAAAAAATATTTTAAATAATAATTATTAGTAATATTTATAACAAAAAATATGTATTATAATTTATATTATTATAGTGAGATTTTTTGCTGATGCTAATGCTCTTTCTTTCTTCTATTTTTCAGAAGACAAGCATCGCTGTCTGCCATGTATCATCTGAAATTGTCCTCTCAGATTCTGATCTTCTTTGTGATGCTGCATTGTGTCGCTACAGTTCCCCACAACAGGTACATCCTCCAATTAAGTGTAAAAAGTTTTTAATAATGTGATTAATATCTGTTGAAGTGTATAGTGTATAAAAAATTGTTTATTTAATTAAATATTTTAATTAATTTATTATTTTTATTACTAAAATCATTATTGTTATTATTATTATCACTATTATTATTATTATCATTATCATTATTATTATTTTATTAAATATTATTATTGTTGTTGCAATTATTATTTTATTATTTATTATTATTGTTATTATTATCATTATTATTGCTATTATTATCATTACTATTATTATCCTTATTATTATTAATATTATTATCAATATTATTGTTATTGTTAATATTATTGTTGTTGCTATTATTATTTTATTATTTATTATTATAATTATTATTATTGTTATTATTATCCTTATTATTATTATCCTTATTATTATTAATATTATTATTATCAATATTATTGTTATTGTTAATATTATTGTTGTTGTTGTTATTAGTATTTTATTATTTGTTATTATTATTGTTGTTTTTATTATCATCATTATTATTATCATTATTGTTATTATTATTATTATCATCAATATTATTGTTATTGTTAATATTATTGTTGTTGTTATTATTATTTAATTATTATTTATCATTATTATTATTGTTATTATTATTATTGTTATTATTATCATTATTATTATTATTATTATTAAAGGCCGCACCTAATTATAATACATTATTATTAATATTAATATTATTATCAATATTATTGTTATTGTTGATATTATTGTTATTATTATTTTATTATTTATCATTATTATTATTATTATTATCATTGTTATTATTATTATTATTTTAAGGCCGCACCTAATTATAACCCTTAACATGTCAGTTGTGTAAAATACTACAGCTTGGAGGAATTAGATACAATATTTCACTTAAAATCAGTTTTTTTAGATGATATTTGGACACTTAAATCCTTAAATATATAATATTATATATTTACTCTTCAGAAAACCCAATATTTGTAATAATTTCATTTCTTACTAAATATAGCACCGCCAGTTTGTTAGCAATTTCATTTGACATAAACTCACCTCTAAAGCTGTTATAAACCATATTCAGGAATAATTTCAGCATAACTGAGTTACACAAACAAAACAGATTTATTAAACAGATATACTTATTAAAATAATATTTTAGCCACCAGACATCTTTAGAAATTGAGAGATAATACAATTAAATTCAAGCTAAATATTGCAATAACATATACATTTGGCTGTACTCGTTTTTGGAGCGTTATCGTAAGTTATTTTGCTAGATTAGCTTCAGTTTTGGCTTCAGTACTGACTAATCTAATGTATATGCACGAATATAATATTGAAGACAAAATATGAAATATTTTATTTACTTATATATGCTGAGCACCGTACGTATACGGTGTTAAAATGTTAATATTAAACAGAGCTGAGCAAACAACGAACAGTTAAATAATTATTATTCAATTCCTTAAGTATTATTCTGTACTAGTACCAATATATACAGAATATGTAAATGTCGATTTGAGTAAAATATTATTTATAATCATTTAAGTAATCTAAATGCGGGATTATTTGACTAAAAAAGCTCACATTTAAAGATTAAATTAAAAGGATGTGAATCATAAGGAGAACATTTTACCACGCAGCCATTGAATTAAATGTATGTTGTTGTTTTTTTTTGTAAACGTTTCATCTAAACTATATTCGTTTTTTGTGTTTGTGTTTCTTTTTAACAGGTACATCCTCCAATTATGTGTAAAAAGTTTTTTAAAATGTGATTAATATCTGTTGAAGTGTATAGTGTATTAAAAAAAATTTTTGTTTATTTAATTAAATAGTTTTATTAATTTATTATTTTTATTACTAAAATCATTATTGTTATTATTATTATTATCATTATTAATATTATTATTATTATTATCATTATTGATATTATCATTATTATTATTAATATCATTATTATTATTATGATCATTAATATTAATATTATTATTATCATTATTAAAATTATTATTATTATTATTATCATCATCACTATTAATATTATTATTATTATCATTATTAATATTATTATTTTATTATTATTATCATTATTATTATTATCATTATTATTATTATTATTATCATTATTAATATTATAATTATTATTATCATTATTATTATTATCATTATTAATATTATTATTATCATTATTAATATTATCATTATTATTAGGCTGGCTTGTGTAGCAAGCCAGACTACTGTTATCCTATTAAACTTAATATTATTATTATTTTTCTATATTATTCTTCTTCTGAGACTAAAAATTAAACTCTATCTCCTCCTAGGCCATTCAAGCTATGACCATCAAACTCAGGTCAGACCTCCGAACTATTCTAACTCGAGTTGCTATATCCTTTCCGACTGATCCGACTTTCGGTTTTCCGAAAAACGTCCCGGGACCGTCGGAAAAATCCCATAGACGTAACATTGGATCAAACTTTGTGACCTCATAACTCCGCATCAGAATGTCACACAGACTTCTAACTGGGCTCATTTAACTCAGACTATCAAACTGCCAATGACTAATCACCTTTAAACTTTCTGGCCACGCCTTAGCAACCACTTTTGGACCCTAGAAACCGCCCCATAGACTTCAATTGCAAAAGACTCTCATTGACTTTACATTGGATCAAACTTTGTGAGCTCATAACTCTGCATCAGACTGTCCTACAGACTAATGGCTGAGCTCATTTAAATCAGTCTAGCCAGCAGCCAATCACTGATGGCCTTTTAACTTTTTAGCCACACCCTAACAACCAGATACTGCACCCTAGCAACTGTCCCATAGACTGCCATTAAAGAGGTTCAGACTGATATTGTCATGTTGCAGTGTGATAGAGACATGGGGGTTGTTTTTAACTGTTCATACTGGCAAGAAGCTTTGATACATCATCAGTCTAAGCTGTCAATCAACTCCATAGCAACAAAACAGACTAACCTAGCAACGATATAACAGCAGCTATATCTCAGCATCAGAACATCGTAGAGAGGCGGGGGTTGGCTTGTTTGACTCATGCTCGCACTCCATCTATCTATCTATCTATCTATCTATCTATCTATCTATCTATCTATCTATCTATCTATCTATCTATCTATCTACCACTATCTATCTATCTATCTATCTATCTATCTATCGATCTATCTACCTATATCTATCTATCGATCTATTGATCTATTGATCTATCTATCTATCTATCGATCTATCTATCTATCGATCTATCTACCTATATCTATCTATCTATCTATCTATCTATCTATCTATCTATCTATCTATCTATCTATCTATCCATCATGCTAAGAACATGCTAATTCATGCTAGAATCATGCTAGTTACATGCTAATTCATGCTAGAATCATGCTAGTAACATGCTAATTCATGCTAGAATCATGCTAGTAACATGCTAATTCATGCTAGAATCATGCTAACAACATGCTAATTCATGCTAGAATCATGCTAGTAACATGCTAATTCATGCTAGAATCATGCTAACAACATGCTAATTCATGCTAGAATCATGCTAGTAACATGCTAATTCATGCTAGAATCATGCTAACAACATGCTAATTCATGCTAGAATCATGCTAGTAACATGCTAATTCATGCTAGAATCATGCTAGTAACATGCTAATTCATGCTAGAAGCATGCTAACAAA